AAACCTAAAATATTTAAGATTTACTACCTGGCTTTGTGTGCTTACTGACTCCTGGTCTACACAATAAAGTACCTGAAGCACCACGTGACTTTTCAAAGAACCATCTCCAGAAGAGAATAAATTGAGCTACTGCTAGCCTAGGCTTTAAGGGTTAGCACACAGGCAGGTTAACAGATCGCCTAGAGGCTCTCTAACATCCCAAAGCTGCCAAGCAAAGCATATAAAGTTACCATTCCCTACTACCAGAGTCCCACCCTTCCCTGTGTCTTTACTAGTAAATCATGTTAACTCTAAAAGGCTGCTCTTTAAGTTCATCTAAACACCTGTATTAAAAACATTAGTGGAAATTGGAAGGTAAAGGGAGGAGACGCTTTGTTGTTGTTAGGTGACACTGAGTGGGTTCGGACTCATAATGACCCTATGCACAACAGAACGAAACACTGCATGGTCCTAGTGCTTTTTTGCTGACCCTCCACTTTACGAAGCATGATATTCTTCTCCAGGGGCAGGTCCATCCTGAAGATACGTCTGAAGTAAGAGAGACAAAGTCTAACCATCCTGGCTTCTAAGACGCTTTCTAAGGAACTGAACCTACATGGATACATTCCAACCCAGATCCTGTACCTTTACCACAGAATCACCTCAGTTCTCTCTACCTGGCCAAGTATCTTTCCCAGAGGGCCCTACCATTAGAATATTCTCACTTACAAAAAGGTATAAGAAGCTCCTGAGAGGGCGCTGATTTCAAACTGAGAAACACAAAGTGTGCATAAATTTTTCATGCCTCACAATCCTTATTCCTTGTTAAGAGTTGACACTAAACGCTAATAACCAACCACATGAGGGCAAATTTCACCACACACACATACACACACTCAAACTGTCTTTTAATATCTAATACTTGGAAGATGTCTTGATACTTTTCTAAGTGCTAATGTTTTTGTGGGGGTTTTTTTTAATAAACACTGTAGGAAAAAAAAAAAAAGGCACTTTCAGCATTGCTGTGCCAACAGAGGGATATCCCCTCCATTGTAAGGGACACAAAGACTCACACCAACTGTGAGCAGGGGAAGCAGCCTTCTCTATCACTATTTTTAGATTCACTTTGACATATTAAAACCAAACTTAGAATTATAATAATGCAGGGCAAAATGATGAATTTGTTTAAACAAAATCAGTCCCTTTATTTAGAAGTTCCTTAACAATCCTACTCTACATATTCTTCTGGACTTAATCTCAAGGGACTATCTACCCTATAAAAAGCTTGTAGTTGTTTCAAAAATACAGACTCAGGCTTCGGGAGCCAACTGGGGTCATACTTAATGGCTGTATCTCCTTTTCAACTGCAAATCTTACCCACTTTTGAAAATCTATTTTAGGGACCGTTTCATTCATTCTCTGTTCTTACTACTAGTTTATCTTTGCTTTCTTTAACACAGATTTTTCCACCAAGTATTTATCTATTTTTCAGCTCTCCACTCACCATCAGCATGTTTAGAGACCCAAATACTTTGAAAATGACTCCCAACCTCTACATTTTCAGAACATCACTCATTCATTTCTGAGATTATATCCATACCGAACTTTTACTCTGAAATTTAATGTTAAAAAACAAAGTTCACTGTCCTATTACTAAAAAATTTTTTAAAACCTGTTTTAAAGCATTTTCCTGTGCTCTTTTTTACTCCTCCCTCTGTACTGTTAAATGCCACTGAGTTGGTTTTTGACTCACAGTGACCCAACCCTGTATAGGGTTTCCAAGGAATGGCTGGTGAGTTCAAACTGAACTTGCAGTAGAGCCCTGGCTTTATGGGAAAAATAAAAACTTTTGGATCCCTATAAAAACAAAATCCTAATCCAGATATAATGTCTTTTGGCCTAAAATGTAATTTCTCCCCCACTTATCTAACACTATCCACTCAGGAACATCATTCTCAATCGCTTCTCTGGGTTATAAACAAATATCTACACAAACACAAACCAACCCCAACCTTTCTCAACCACCATCCTCTGTATTCCCATCAAACTGTTGTTGCTGTTAAGTACAGTGGAGTCAGTTCTGACTCATAATGACCCTGCACAGTGTTTCTGAGGCTGCAAATCTTTACGGGAGCAGAAAGTCTCATCTTTCTCCCACAGAACAGCTGGTAGTTTCGAACTGCTGACTCTGAGGTTAGCAGCCCAATTCATAACCACTATGCTACCAAAGCTAGCTTCCTAAATACTGCTATCCCTCACACCTCAACTCTCCAATTCCACTGATGCTTTTCTCCTCAAGACACTATGTAAACCTGCTTCCTAGAAGAAAACTGTCCCACATTTGATTCAGACACTCCAATTCATTCTGCGTAGTCCAGTACAAACATTTCTCCAATGGAAAATGTACTAATATTTTCACATCTGCTAAGGGCCAAAACAAGTATCAAGCAGAGAGTGGTCTTAGATAAATTTCTTTCCTACAATTCTGTGCAATTTGTGTTTGATTGCTTCCACTGCCCATATGGAAAAGCAAAGTATAGACATCAACTACCTGGTCCTTCTTTGCTACCCAATACATAATGAAACATTTTCATGATTTTTTTACCCAATCTACCGTCAAAACAATAAAAAATAATAATAATAAGTATTAGTGTGGTGCTGTAGGATAAGCACTGGACTGCTAACTGCAAAGTCAGTAATTCAAACCCAACAACCACTCCTCAGAAATCCTATAAAGGATTGTTATGAGTTGGAACAGACTCCACAGCACATAACAAAATTGGTAAATGGAAGGTTGGTGATACAGTGGTTAAGCATTCAGATGCAAAATAAAAGGTCAGTGGCTCTAACCCAACAGTCAGCTGCTCAGAAGAAAAAGGTATGGCTGTTGGATCCCATAAAGATAACAGCCTTGGAAATCCTATGGGGCTCTTGTAGGGTTGCTATGTTTAAGGACCAACACAACTGGCATCGCATTTGGTTTGTGTTGAAGCTGATAATCAACTGGTCAAGTACACTCAAACTACAGTTTGCTGACTTGTCCCCCCATCCCCTAAAAAGCAGCCTACGCTATCTTTGTGAAACATGGAATACATGACTTCCTCAAGGTCACAATATAAGATAAGAGCAGATCCAGGGTCATCTATGCTGATTCTTAGTCTAACATTACAGCCACTACTCAACAACTTCATGCTAGTAACCATTTTTAAATGGGGTCCTGCTGTTAGCGTGGCTGCTAACAGACAGGTCAATGGTTTGAATTCACCAGTCACTCAATGGCAGAAAGATGGGGCAGATAGATTGCTTCTGTCAATATTATAGCCTTGGAAATCCTAAAGCACCTTTCTACTCTGTCCTATAGAGTTGCTGTAAGAACTGACTTGCTTGGGTTTAGTTTGGTTTAGTCATTTAAACTAGATACAATTTTAAGTTCGTTACAAAAGCACAATAAAGTATCTAAAAACAAAGAGCTGGCAAAGTCCCAAAGGAGAGCAAAATGATCAGAGTTGGAAAAAATTATCCTAAAACAGACAAAAGAGTTGGAGGGAATGATAGCCAAAAGGAACAATCGTAAAACTGAAAAGATGAACTCTGAATTTTTCTAGCATCTCTCAAAACACAAACAATGGATATGTTTTGGAACTCTAATGAGACAGGGTTGAGATAAATGAATTGCTAGGTAATTTGGAGGTCAATAAACTTGAAAAATTCATTATTCAGACACACAAAAAAAGTAAAACAAAACACTGAGAAAAATTCCAAATAAATTTCATCAAGATCTTAAATGGAGAACTTAGATAACCCAAGTTTTATTCATTCCCACACAATATATCTTAGCAGTGGCTTCAAAGAGAGCCCAAAGCATAGCCTGGATAAACCAGTAATTCCCAGTACAGTACTGTCTATGTTCTGTTATATAAAATCCCACTCTATATTTACCCATTAAAATCTGTATAAATACATAAAATGTTAATTACTCTCACACACCTCTAATTTGGCACTCAGAAGTTACCTGAAATACTAGTGAAAGATCTTCTAGACTTCAACTTTAAAATGATGAAAGTAAAAAAATCAAGTATCAGAGCGTCTCCTAAACTGACAGGGAAGTGAAAACAAATCAAATAAAGCCTGAAGTCATTCTGCCAAATAAAAAAGTACTATCAATTGGGACATATGCTACGCAAGAAAAAGCATTTGGGTGAAGGAAAAAAATCTAACAACTTTATAAACTGTACTAAACGCTCTCACCCAAATAAAATTGTAATTCACAAGAACTGAGAATTTCCTGAGCAACTGAAATCTGTTACAGTGTCCTAACACACGGGCATGGGACCATGAAAATGAGATTTTAAAACCTTACCAAGGGAAGACTCAAGGAAAGGAAAATGAATTTTACTTTCGGAGACACCTAAAGATGAGGTGGGTCCCACCTGAGAACCCAAGTGAGCGTTCCCTGGAAACAAAACCTACAGCACGGGGTTAATACCTGGTGTATTAGGAAAAGGCATATTTCAGAGTTGGCCTTCGTGTGCACATATGCTCTGGCTGCCTGGATTTCCTTTCAATTTCTAGCCAAAAAGGGTGCAAGTATCATTCACACTGGTGAAAGACAGAACTGCTCTAAGAGAAATCTGCAAACTTACACAACACATACAAAGAGCAACAAGGTTACAAAACACAGGACTACTTAACATCTCCCCTCCGTGAAGAATCAAGGTAACATTCCGACATACCTAGAGAAACAAAACTCCAGGAGAAAGCACGCGCATCCTCCCACTTTCTACCCGCTCCCTGTAGCCCCCAATTCCCGTTCCCGGGGCCACTCACACTATAGGAGCCAAGAGTAATGACCGTGGCGCTGATAAAGTGGATTGGTTCCCTTCCTCCTTCGGACCGAGACGGCGGCTGCGGAAGACTCCGGCACGGGGCTAGTAAGCAGCGGTGCTAGTGTCTCTAAACCAGGCGGTCACCCGGCTCTCTTCCGCGCCGCCAAGGGAGAGGAGGTGGTGGCCCCGGTTTACCGCCTCCTTTCCTCTTCCTGGGTCTCTTCAGGCTGTGGCTTCTGCCGGTCCAGGGCCACTTCACCCACAGTCACGTTTGAGAGGCGCCGGATTTTGTTTTTATAAAAAGTTTCCTCTGGGCGGAGGCTGCGGCCGGCCCCCCGGGTCCCCCCCGGCCCCGCCGCCCTCGGGCTGGGGCGGGGGAGGGGGCACTGAGAACTCCTACCGGAGCCCTGCCGAGGAGCCGGGGGGCCGGCGACTAGCCAACGAATAAGACCCCCGAGGGGGCGGAGGGGAGGGGGAAGGTCGGCGGCGCCGGTCTTGCTCTCTTCGCCGCTCGGACTGCCGCTTCACATCGGTGTCCCCGCCCCCCCGAGCGGGGGGTGGCTCCTGAGCTAGGGGTCCCGGCTCATACACGCCCGGGCGAGATGCTACGGCCCCGGGCAGGTATACGAGGCGGCGGCGAGACGGGGAACCCGGCCGGCTCCGCTCGGCGCCGCCCCCGCTCCCGGCTCCCGCATGTGTCGCTGCGGCTGAGACCCCCTCCCTACACCTTGGGAGTCCCTCGCTCACGCCCCGGGACGAGGCAGAAGCTCCGGCCCCTCCTCAGCGTCCTCTCACCGCAGAGCAGCTGCCCAGCCCCAGTCCGCGGTCGCCGCCTCCCTGCCCCCAGTCGCCGGCTCCGGCTCCGGCTCCGGCTCCGGCGTGTGCAGCCGCGGCTGCCGGCCGGGAAGGTGAGGGGGGGGGCAAGGAGGGGTGGCCGCGATTCCCGTTGGCCCAGGTTAGGGCGAAGGTCTTGGCGATGGCCAGTGCACAGAGGCTGAATCTCTCCGATGCTCCCTCGCTCTCACTCTCTCCGTAGCAGTGGTGGTAGCGCCTGGAGCTCCGCTCGCTGTCTCGCTCGCACTGTGCCGAGCTCTCGCCTCACTCTAGAGAGAGGGGCGGGAGGAAAGCGGCGCGTACCTATGACGCATCACCTAGCAACCGCTCTTTTGCCCCCTCCCTTTTCTTTCCGCTCAGAGGCTCCGCCGCTGGCTTTTTTTTTTTTTTTCTTCCCCTTTACACAAACCCCGCCCTGGACAACTCTGGCGCGCTCTGATGACGCTTGAAGGGAAGAGGAAGTCAGGGATCGGCGAGCGGGTGGGTGCGCCTTGGGCCGCGGGACTCTGCCTCCGCAGCCGTCGCTGCCTTTACGGCCGCGTCAGAACTGAAGAGAGGAAGAGGAGGAGCCGAAGCAACCCTAAGCTGCCGCCTGATCTTACCCCTGACCTGAGAGCGGCGAGAGAGCTTGCTCTGTGGCGGTTTCCTTAAGGACAGGTGGTGATTGCTCCTTTGAGAACAAGGAGGCCCTGGCTACGCGGCTGTGCTCGGGTACTCATCATCCGAAGGTGAAGCATGTGGTCCAAAACAGGCTCTGAGCCGGACCGAACGAGGAGTTGCCCTGCAGACTGGTTCGCAGCACCACCTGCTCCAAGGAGCTTGCGCCCCACTCTTTCCATGCTGTGGTGAGACCCAGCGCCCGATAGCTTGTGGGCGGGCCGAACAAATGATCAATGAATGAATGAGTGAGCCTCCCTCACAGGTCCCTGGAGGAGCTCAGAAGAGATGAGGGAAGTGCCAGCGCTTTGTAAACTGCAAAGTATTATAAAGAGGCGCTGTAGTGCCACCACCCCTCCCCCATGAAAGTAAATAGGACAGCCTGAGACTTTACTGAAAACGGAAGAGAATTGTTGGAGCAAGAAGAGGGGGTTGGAAGGGAGCCATCCTCCTTGTTAGAAAAAGATTTCCAATGTTTTCAAGAGGAGAATTTAGCAGTGCTTCACTTTTAGTAATCATTCTTGCTTATGGTTGTAACTTTGGAGAGAGCTTCTTGACTGATCTGTGTTATTTTCCAGGGCCCATTAACTTCAAGAAGTATTGGCCTGTGTTTTAGATCTGTGATTACAAATCGGGCTGCTAACCTCAAGGTCGGCAGTTCGAAACTACCAGCTGTTGCACTGGAGAAAGATGAGGCTTTCTGCTCCCGTAAAGATTTACAGCCTCGGAAACCCTGTACAGGGTCACTCTGAGTCGGAACTGACTCTACGATGTTTAACAATAGAGGCTGAAATAAATATTAACTACTGTGCAGCATTTCTTATGAATGTTATACTGGAAAATAGATTCAAATAAAAATTCACAAAGTTGAAAGTGTCGTTCTCTAGAGGAAAAAGATAAAAAGACCCGAATCCCGAGAACTGGGTCTTGAACCTGCCCTGATGGCTAGTGTAAGAATGAGATAAAAGCAGCGGGAATGATGAAAGGAAGCAGATTCAACAGTTTCGTGGCATACCTTCACACACTCTGCCTCCTCTGGAAGCAGCTGTGATGGACATTATTCTTACCAGCAGTGGGGATAGAAGCTGGCAGATTTAGAGAACTATTGTCACCACTGCATACTGATGTTAGACTAAGGAAACTTCTGATTGGTAAATCCAAGGGCTCATTTTTATTTAAATACTGCAGAAAGTGGGGGTGAAAGGTGCTCTAGAAGCAAGGGTTGACACAAAGTAGCACCTGATCCTACTGTCCTTAACCCCAAGTTCCAGTATACTGCTTAAGTTACCCTGCATTTGACTATCTTTACATAACCAATCCCTTGCTATACCCTTCCAAATAAGACCATAGCAAATCAGACTATATAGATCATATATATAGTTGAACTATATACATCATATATGGATATATGATGTATATAGTATATATACATATATGTATATAGTTGTCCGACACTGTGGATCAGCATTGGAGTGTGAACCACAAGGTCAGCAGTTCAAATCTACCAATACAAGGTCGCTGAGTCAGAACAGACTGGACCACTTAAATATAAATAATCCCAGTGTCCAGTGGTGGAATGGTAGAAATTGAAAACACAGGTTTGGGGGATTTTGTGAGACTGACTAACACAGATTTTTTAGGTCTATGGGCTTTAGATGAAAAGTGCAAACATTAGAGTTCTGCAAACCAGGCAAGCGTTCCACAGAAAAGTGTACCACATAGAGTTCTTCAGCAGCCTTATCTGTTTCCACTGTCAGCGACTCCACCTTAGAACCTCAGTGCTGATAGACAGAATGTCACTGAGGAGAACTCTGAGCCACCTACTTATGAAGTAACAGCTGCACCAAGCTTACTGGGCAAGCTCCGCCCACCTCGCCCTCCAGTGTGATAACAGGAGGAAACAGCTGGAACTGGTGACTGAAGAAGAGGAAGTTCATATATTTCCAACTTGGTTTACATCTACTTTAGTTCCTTGTGTTGCTTTATTAACACAGTTGTTGTTAAGTGCCATCCAGTCAGATCCAACTCAGAGGGACCCTGTATAGGATTTCCAAGGAGTGGCTGGTGGGTTTGAACTAGCAACCTTACTATTAGCAGTTCAGTGCTAATGCTATAGCACAACACCAGGACTCGACCCAGAAGAGCTAGTTAATTCAAAATTCCAAAACTAAAGTTTAAGTAACAGAGGTCTTTCTCTGGTTCATCAATTTGTTTATGACAAAGATGTGTATATATTAAAACATGCTTGTGTAGAATTTTTACTCCTACACATGAAATTGAGCTCTTAGATGTTGTTAAGTGCCTTGGAGTCAGTTTCCATTTTTAGCAGCCCTTTATAAGTTTCCTAGGAGTAGATGGTAGACTTGAACCACTGACCTTGTGGTTAGTAGTCCAGCACTTACCCTGGCCCTGTAGGACCTACTCAACAACACTTAACAACAAAAAGCTCTAAGTAGAAAACTGTTTTGTTGTTGTTGCTGTTAAGTGCTGTTGAATCAATTCCAGTTCATGCTGATTAAGGGTACTAGATTGAAAGGTTGCTTTGAACCTGAAGGTCAACTGTTCAAACTCACCAGCCACTCCTCGGATACCTGTACAGAGTCGCTATGAATTGGCACTGACTCAACGGAACTTAACAACAACGTAGAAGGAAACTATTAAATCCGTGTTTAAATAGTCCACATCAGTGGCTTTGATTGTCAAAGATTTAATAAGCTAAATTATTTGGAAAAATAGCTTTTTATTTCTAGAAATGCCATGTACAACTCATCCAATATATCAATTATTTTTTTGAAATATATCTAAAAATGTAAAAACATAGTTATGCTATATAGTATAATGAGTAATGCTAAAGGAAATCCCTATGTAACCAATCAGGTCAAGAATTAGGAAATTTCGCGTACACTACACCAAAAACCCCCTTGCAAACTTTGCTGACTATAACTCTCCCTCTCTGCTCCAGGTAATCATTATTCTAACTTTTGTAATAACCATCTCTGTGCTTTCCTTTGTTGTTTATCACAAGCATGCATCTCTAAACAGTATATTGTTTTGTTTTCGCCTTTCTTTTGAATTTTGTCTAAATAGGACTACATAGCATATAACCTGTTGTGCTTGCTACTTTTGCTTCCTGTGGATTTTAATCCAAGCTGTTGCATATAGCTGTAATTTATTCCTCTTAATTGTTACAGTGTTCCATTGTAGCAACATGCTACAATTTATTTAGCTGCTTGATTATTGATGGACATCTGGGTTGTTTCCATTTGTGGGCTTATAAACACTGCTGCTGTGAACATCTTCATGTACGTACTCTACATCAGTTTCTCTAATCTATATACCTGAAAGTGGTTATGTTGTTGTTAGGTGCCATCAAGCTGTTTCCGACTCATAGCAACCCTATGCACAACAGAAAAAAACGTTGCCTGGCCCTACACCATCCTCACTTGGTACATTTGAGCCCATTACTGCTGCCACTGTGTCAGTCCATCTCATTGGGTTTTTTTCTCTTTTTCACTGAGCCTCCCTCTAGGATGTCCTTCTTCAGGGACTGATCCCTCCTGCAACATGTCCAAAGTACCAAAATACAAGAGACAATCTCGCCTTCCTCGCGTCCAAGGAACATACTTGGCTCTACTTCCAAGACAGATTTGTTTGTTCTTCTGGCAGTCCATGGTACTTTCAGTATACTTCCCCAACATCATAATTCAAATGCACAATTCTTCAACTATCTTCCTTATTCATTGTCCAACTTTAACATGCAAATTAGGCAACTGAAAATACCATGGCTTCAGTCAGGAGCACCTTATCCTAAACTGACA